TTTTCTTCCAGACCTTGCGGAATCGAGCCACCGAGTGGTTCAACAAGCTTCGCCCGGGAAGCATTGACTCATTCAGCGACTTGGCCTCGAAGTTCAAGGCCAAGTTCCAGGAGAACTGTACCAAGAGGAAGAAATTCACCTATCTTAGTACAGCCGGGCAGAGGGAATCTGAGAACCTCACCCAATTCCTTACCCGGTGGAAGGAGGAGGTAGACAAGGTTGAGGAGATGGATGACAAGACAGTGTTGTCCCTCCTCCTGAGTGGTTTGCGAGCTGGGGAACTTTACAAGGAGTTCTGCCGGAAACCCCCGGCCACGTATCAGGAAGCGTACCATACTGCATGGGAGTTCACCGAGGGTGAGACTCAACTCCGGGCGAAGAAAGAAGCCGAGCATGGTTACAAGCCCAAGCCGGTGCAAGTCAAGAAGGAAGAAGTGCCGGTACCCAGCCAGCCAAGGCACCACTATGACCCGGTAGTCCGAGTGGTCAATTCAGAAGAATGCCAGGAGATCAGGAAAGCACCGGTCAATCCTCCGGACAATCCTACCGGTCAATCTGGGCGTCAGTGGTCGGGCACCTATTGTTCATACCACAGGTCAGATTCCCATAGCACTTCCGAATGCAAGAGTGTTAAGGGGGTAATCCGGCAGATGATAGACAGCGGAGAACTGGGCAAGGATTATCTGCAGAAAGCCCAGGAGAAGAACCATCAATGGGTAAGGCCAGCGACCCAGGGAAATGACCGGGACAATGACCGGCGGAGGAATAACCGGCAGAGGGAGCAATAGCCTGCCCCTGACAAAGAGCATATTGGGATGATCTTTGGCGGACCTGAGGGCGGAGATTCAGCCGCGCAGCGAAAAAACTGGGTTCGCAGTATTTACGTGGGAGAGGTGAGTGCCGAACCGGCCAGGCGTAAGTACCCTAAGAGGGAGCCAATAGTCTTCACTGACCGGGACCTCCCTCCTACCGGTGAAGATCACAATGATCCATTGGTCATTACCATGGACATCAATGGGGTGGACGTCGCACGGGTGCTTGTTGACACCGGCAGCAGTGTCAACATTCTCTACCTGGAGACCTTCCAGAAACTCAGGTTGTGTCGGACACAACTTGAACCCCTTAAAACCCCTCTCTCAGGTTTCACGGGAGATACGGTGGAAGCTGAAGGGTCCATAGTTCTACCGGTCGAACTAGGATCGGGCGAGAAGACCGTATGGAAGAAGATGCGATTCATTGTTGTGGACATCAAATGCGTCCACAACGCAATCCTTGGAAGACCCGGCATCAACAAGGTCGGTGCGGTGATTTCCATGTCACACCTGTGCATGAAGTTCCATACTCCGGGTGGTGTAGGAGGAGTAAAGGGTGACCAAAGGAATGCCCGGGAGTGCTATGCCCGGGCAGTCAAGAAAATGACCAAGGGGGTCAACGTCATCTCCCAGGAGATCGCGAAGGGCGAAACTCGGGAGAAGCTGGAGCCTGAAGCGGAAACGGTGGAGATCGAACTCCACCCGGGTGATTCATCAAGGATGGTCCGAATTGGGGCGAACCTCCCTGAAGATCTCAAGGCGAAGATCACGCGGGTCCTCCAAGAGTACGCGGGCATATTCGCCCGGAGCGTGGCGGATATGCCCGGGATAGACCGCTCAATCATCTGCCACCGGCTGGCAGTGAGAGATGGAAGTCGACCGGTACGCCAGAAGAAAAGGTACCTGGCCAGTGACCGGCGAGATTTCGTCAAGAAGGAGGTGAAGGACCTCCTCAGTGTCGGCCACATCCGGGAGGTCAAATACCCGGATTGGCTGGCCAACGTCGTCCTTGCTCCCAAGGGCGACACGTGGAGAATGTGTGTGGATTACACGGACTTAAACAAGGCTTGTCCGATGGATTCATACCCCCTCCCCAGTCCTGATCAAATGGTGGACGAAACTGCGGGGTGCGAACTCCTAAGTTTCATGGACGCCTTCAAGGGCTACCACCAAATCTACATGGCCAAGGAAGATGAAGAAAAAACGTCATTCCTCACCCCCGAAGGAACTTACTGTTACCAGGTGATGACGTTTGGCTTGAAGAATTCGGGGGCAACCTACCAGCGCATGGTGAACAAGCTCTTCAAGCCACTACTGGGAAAGACCATGGAGGCGTACGTCGACGACATGCTAATTAAAAGCCAGGTATCCCTCAACCACCCGGCTGATATGCGGGCCACGTTTGATATCATGGCTAGATACAACCTCCGGTTGAATCCTAAGAAATGCGTCTTCGCGGTTCGCACCGGGAAGTTCTTGGGGTTCATGGTGACCAAGAGAGGAATAGAGCCCAACCCAGAAAAAATACGGGCTATCACTGAAATGCGGGCCCCCACTTCTGTAAGGGATGTCCAGAAGTTGACCGGTCGCCTAGCGGCACTCAGCCGATTCCTTTCCCGGTCTGCTGAGAGATCTCTGCCTTTCTTCAAAGTCCTGAAGAAGGCCAACAGTTTTGCATGGGACGAAGAATGCCAGAGGGCATTCGAGGAGCTGAAGGAGTACCTAGTGTCAGATATTGTATTGTCTAAACCCCAGCCGGGTGAAACTCTGTATCTGTACCTGGGAATTTCCCCAAATGCTGTAAGCTCTGTTTTAATAAGAGATGATGGGGCACAAAAGCCTATTTATTATGTGAGCAAAGCACTAAACGGAGCTGAAAGTAGATACACGGCGATGGAAAAAACAGCCTACGCGCTTTTCATCTCTGCAAAAAAGTTAACATCCTACTTCCAAGCCCACCCGGTAGAAGTCTTGACTGACCAACCGCTGGGTGCAGTGTTGCGAAATTCAACATCCTCCGGGAGGATGGTGAAGTGGGCGATGATGTTAACTCAATTCAACATTGAGTACCGACCAAGGTCAGCAATCAAAGGGCAAGCCCTTGCGGACTTCCTTGTGGAAATGACCGGTGTAACTCCAGATGCACCGGTCGACAAGCCTACCGAGCAGTGGTGGGAGATGGCAGTAGACGGGGCGTCCGGTCCTAAAGGTTACGGGGGTGGTATAGTCTTTACTACCCCGGAAGGATTCAAAATTTACCATGCAATCATCTTCAACTTCAAGCTGACAAACAACGAGGCAGAATACGAAGCTCTGGCTGGAGGGCTCAGACTTGCCCAAGCCCTGAAGATCGACCGGGTCAGTATCAAATCTGATTCCACTTTGATCGTTGGACAAGTGACCGGTAACATGGAAGCCAGAGAAGGGCGAATGGCGCAATACAAGGACCTGGTGCTTGCCTTGTTGAAAGGCTTTGAGGAATTCAAGATCGCCCAGATCCCCCGGGCGGAAAATGCAGATGCAGACCTTCTCTCCAAATTGACGCAGTATGCTCCCGAGCATGTTTCAAAACTTGCCCGGGTAGAAATTCTTGATCATGCCAGCATTGAAAAATTGGAAGTAGCCGCTATAGCAGATGGGAGCCAGTCTGACCGGTCAAACTTGGTCGGTGCGAATGACAACTAGATGTATGATCTGATGGAGTACTTGATGGATGGGACCTTGCCGGAGCAAGATGACCGGGCAAGAAAAGTGAAGCTCAGGGCACCCCGGTTCCAAGTCCTTGACGGAAAGCTGTACAAGAGGGCGTTCGGGGGACCCCTCCTGAGGTGCCTAACCAACCGGGAAGCTGAGCGAGTCATTGCAGAAGTCCATGGAGGGGTGTGCGCGGCACACCAAATGTCCCGCACCCTTTCCCAGCGCATCATCTTGTTGGGGTATTACTGGCCAACTATTGTCCAAGACTGTGAAAGGTATGTCCAGAAGTGCAGAACATGCCAGGTGTTCTACAAGTATCCCGGTAGGCCGGCAACCTACTATCACCCCGTATCAAATGTCATCCCTTTCGCTAGATTCGGGGTGGATATCATTGGAGCGTTCCCAATCGCCCAGGGAAGGAAGAAATTTGTAATCGTGGCCATCGATTACTTCACCAAGTGGATTGAAGCTGAAGCACTAGCCAATATCACCACGCAACAATGCAAGAAATTCGTTTGGAAGAACATCATCACAAGGTTTGGGGCTCCCATGAACCTAATCACCGACAACGGCCCACAATTCCGAAATCCAAGATTCACCGAATACTTGGAGGGCTTTGGAATTAAGCACAACCGTTCTTCGGTGGCCTACCCCCAAGGAAATGGCCAGGTGGAAAATGCCAACCGAACAATTGTGCATGGTCTAAAGAAGCGGCTGGGAGAAGCAGGAAACAAGTGGCTGGAGGAACTCCCACATATCATCTGGGCGTTCCGAGTAACACCCAGGAGGGCTCATGGGGAAACTCCATTTTCCCTAACCTATGGGTGTGAAGCAAGGTTGCCCATCGAAGCTGAATTCCCAACGTTTCGGGAATCAAATTATCAACCCCAGCAGAATGAGGAGGATCACTTGGCCGAACTCAACTTGGTCAAAGAGCGGAGAATGGCCGCGGAAGTTAAAATGAGCACATATCAACAAGTCGTGAAGAAGTACCACGACAACAAGGTTGGACCACGATACTTCCAAGTCGGAGATGAAGTCCTACGAAGAAGAGAGGCTAGTAGACCGGGTGATGGAGGAAAACTGGCCTAAAACTGGGAAGGCCCGTACCGGGTGAGAGCTATTGTCCGCCCAGGAACCTACCGGTTAGAAAATCTAGAGGGACACCCGGTAGAAAGAACCTGGAACTCTCACCATCTTCGCAAATTCTACAAATGATTGTAATACTATGCAAGGCCTACTTCATTATCAATCAAACCAATGACATTCAATACTCTAGGAGGGCTTCCCGGGTGGATCGGATCCACTCGGATAAGCCAACTGAGACACAGGCCCGGACCTGGCACGCTGGTTACTACACCGGTCTTGCTCAGTATAATAGAAAAAATATTAAACCCGGAAGAGGGGCCTGGAAGAGGGTATGCCTGCAAGAGGGCTGGACCTGGAAGAAGGTTCGAACCGTACTTACACGGGCCCATGAGGTTTGACCGGTGTCGGGGAATCAGCCGGCACCGTCAAATTAATTGGGGAATAAAAGATGCCCATTAAAAGAAATAGAAGGGGATCGTCCACCGTGGCGTATCCTATTTCCCCCTTCTCAGGGAAGACTTGAACGAGGGGGTGAGCTAAGGCCTTCCCGGGATGGTAGAAATCAAAGGGCCATTAAAAGACTTAATCACCCGGAAGAGGGGGCCCTGGAAGAAGGGTGCATTTGAACCTTGGAGAGGGTTCGAAACCATTCGAACATGGTTAATTCTCCAGTATTCTTACCGGTTAAGGATACTTCAAGAAATTACTAGGTTACAGGTGTTCCATCTACAATCTACCGGTCATAAAAAAAAAAAAGAGAATACCCCGGTTGGGTATTGATACAGAGGAACTTCGAAAGTTCCACAAGGCGAAGCAGTTCACCGGGGAGACCGTGGAGAAGGGACCTACCGATCAAACTTTACTTCACTTTCAAAACAAGAACGAAGGTGTTCAAAAGCCAAAAAGAAGTCTAGCCGGTCAATCATTCTTCAAACTGACCACCAAGTTGGAGTTCAATCGGTCAAAGTTACTCGAGCTGAATTTTCAAGTAAAGTGATCAAGAAAAACTTGGAAGTTCTACCGGTCGAAAACAATTGGAAAGTGGCCTGAAATATCTACCGGTCGGAGTTTCTATGATGGTATTCTAAGAAGCAATAAAAGGTAACAATCATGGTGCAAGCAGATATGGAAGGTTAACCGGCACGGAAATTAAGCATTGCATTCAAACAAAACAAGAAAATTAATTGTTTACAAGTACGCCGGGCATCCCCGGGGAAATTTCCAGTTTCAAGTTTACAAAAAATAACCGGGCGCAGCCGGGGAGATTTTCAATTCAAGGGGAAGGGAGGTGCAGGCTCGTCGTCCGGGATGGGGGCCAGTCCATATGCTTCGGCGTCAAAATCCGGAAACCGTTCGGCAAGGACCGCATGGGTAGCCTCCCGGTCACGTTTTTGGCCGGACATAAAACCGTAGGAGCCAATCTGGGTAATCATCTCTTTTCCTTGCTCCTCCCGGCATATGAACTTGAAGGCCTCCATCGTCACCTCCGGGGTAGATGTAATTACCCGGGCTGTTTCCTCCAAGTTCTCTCCGACCCATCGCCTGGCCCTACCGGGGAACTCTCGCTCCTTCAGCTCCAGATCTTCCATCAGCTTCAAATTTTCTTCCTTCAGGTGGAGGGTCTCTGCTTTGGCCCCCTCGGCGATTGCAGAAAGATCAGCTATCTCATTCGACTGCCGGGCAGTCAGCTCCTTGAGATCCCGGTTATGAGCCTCACATCTCTTCAGCTTCTCCTCCAGTTGGGCTAACCGGGAGGAGGAATCTTCGGTGAGTTGCTCCAATACGTCCGGCCTAACTTCACCCATCTGCATATTGAATAGAACACCGGTTAGTGCGAAGACTAAGGGGCAAGAAACGGTACCGGTTAGTACGAAGATTACCCCTTTCAGCTTGAGGGTCAGTTTGACCCAGAGCTCCTCCAGTGACTCCTCAGCCGGGATGTTTTCCCCCCTTTTCTTTTTGGCCGACGGATGGTTTGTGGCCGCATGCTTCACTCTCTTTTTCCCCTTTCCTTTGTTGGGGGGGGGGGGGNGGGAATTCACCGTCTCCTTCCCGGTTTGAGAAACCCCCCCGGTCTCAGGAATTTCCTCTTCAGAATGAACTTCTATAGTTTCCTTCTGGACCGGTTGTGCTGCTGAAGTATGCGGACCGGCAGCAGAGTAAGAACCACCGGTAGTCTTCGGCATATGGTAGGCTCTGAAATTCATATCTGCGAAACGGACAAAAAAACTTGTAAGTATTCAAACAAAAGCCGTTGAGGTCAAAAGAAAGAAGGTAGAGGAATGAAAGTGTACCTGGGTGACTCGGGTCCCCGGCCTCCGCAGTGTTGCCCGGGGAGGGTACCCCGCGCCCCGCCGCTTCATGAGCCTGGGAGGTACCCTCGCCACCGGTTGGACGCGCCACACCCAACCCCCGTAGTGGTACATCTGGCCGGTATTAGGGTCCCCCTGCAGAAGCTTTCCTAGACTCTCCTCCAAGTCCGGAGTGGTGGGCGGCTCAGTGAATTGGTGCTTGAGAAGATTATCGCTCCACGTCAAACCGGCCAGAGGAGTGACGGAGGGGGGAAACTTTATGAACACAAATTTTTCCTTCCACAAACGGTTGCTTTGTGGGAGGTCAGAAATGAATTTTCGGTTGTTTCGCCCTTTGAAGTAGACGAAACCCTCGCAGCCCGGCTTACCGGGATGGACCTCGAACATGTAAAGGAAGAGGCGAAGCGAGGGGTCGATGTGAAGGAAGGTGCAGATATTGGCAAAAGAATTGAGTAACCGGTGGGCATTGGGAGTAATTTGACCGGGTAGAATCTTAAAGCATTGGCAAACCTCGACAAAGAGGGGGCGAAGGGGAAAAATGGTGCCGCTCTCTAAGGAAGCAATATGAAAACCTATTCTATCCTCCTGGTGGGGTTCGATGATGTTGGGCCAGTTCACGTCGAATTCGAGAACGTAGCCCACCGGGAGGTTCCTACGGGCCTTATCCAAAGCTATTTTGGAAACGTTGGGGTAGATGTCTGTAACGAAGGAGGTAGGAACGGGAGAGTAACCGACCGCATCCAACCTCTCCACCCATTGATCCCTGGTCTCTTTTTCCGGGTCATAGGGGGCCGGTTCGTCGTTAACCGGTTCCTCCCTCTCCGCGAAAAGGTGACCGGGCATCTGGTTTAGCGGCTGCGGTTCAGGGACGCTAGGGTTTGGATTCAACCGGGACTGAGGGATGGGGGAAGACGACCCGGTCGAAGAAGAGGAAAGAGGTTCCTCGGATGCGCGGGCATCCGAGGCAGAAATATCTTGGCTATCAGCGGAAGACATTAACCAGAGAGAAGGGCAAAGAAAAGAGAGAAAAAACTAAGGAAGAAAGAAGGAAGCTTACTTGACTTGGAGGGCTGGAAGGCTAGAGAGAGGGAGCTTGACCGGTGAAACTCGAGAGACGCGCACGAAGAAGTGAAGGAATGAATGGAGTTGGGGGCGTTTATATAGGCGAGGGGAAAGGAGAAGGAGGCGACGTGGCCTCACCAGGGCGCGCCGCGTCAAGCGGCGCCATCATTGCGCCTGGGGAGGCGAAAGGGCGCAGGTCTGACGCTGTTCAGCGGGCCGCACGTGTCATAACTGACACTTTTCAAATTTTGAATTCAAAATTTTTGAGCGGGAAAAGCCAAAATTCGAATTTAAAAGTTCTGTTTCAGATTTTTTACTTCCCGCTTATGACAAAATCGCATAACCGAGAAGTGGAGGGCTTATTGATGGGTGTATTTCACCCATGACCGGTCAAAGGTCAGGACCGGATAGTTGACCGGTCAAAGAAGTCGAACTCAAAAGAGCGATCTGGATCGTCAGCAAAATGATGACTGGTTGACCGCGAAGTTGACCGGTGTACTTCGGATAGTATACCGGTCAAAATACCTTACCATCAGGAGCCAATTCCGAAGTTAGTTAAACCCAACCTTCGAGAACCAACCGGTGTACTTTCACAAGATTGATGGGTGTCGGCGGGGAGAATCCAAGAGAGACTTGGACTGTAGTGGTTGGAATTGCAGAGATGCCGAAGGAACATTTCCAAGCCAGACCACGACAAGGGTAGCGATTCCCATCACAAGGCGACAGGACAGCTCAAGGACGAAACCAGTCAGGTCACACCACGCCAGCTGCGTGCCCCCACGTGGGCACACGTGGTCCTGCCCCCCCTAGCTTAGTATATATACCACTTGTGACCCTCGAAGAAGAGATCCGAATTCACTCTCTCTAAACTCCCTTGTAAAAGTGACCGCGTATTCTCTGTTACAATATAGCTTGGGCTACAGGTGTTCCACCTAAAGTCCTACCGGTTAATCTGAGTGTTTTTACTTTCCTTACTTTACGAAATCAAGCCAACTCTTTTAGACCCGGTCTAGTATAGTTTGACCGGTCAAGTAATTTACACCATCAGGACGAGGCACCCCTATTATTTCTTTTCCGGAGATTTTTTTTGAGTTATTTTTCGTAATCCTCTTTTTCGTCACACCTTTGGTGGCGAGCTTTTTTTTTTCTTTCTCATCTAACCTTTTTTCATAACTAAGGCTCCGTTCCGTTCAACTTATTTTTTCTGATCTGATCTGATTCTAATAAGTTCTGATCTGATCTGGTCTGATCTGATCTGATCTGATTGGATCTGATCTGATCTGATCAGATCTGATTGGATCTGATCTGATCTGATCTGATTGGATCTGATCTGATCTGATTGGATCTGATCTGGATTAATTATGATTTAATTTAAAATTTTAAATCAATAATTTAATTTGACTTTATAATAACGTTTGAAAATTGTAATGATAATTCATATTACAATATAATTAAAATTTTTTATTTAATGATTATTTTTTAATAAAATAAAAATAGTCAATTCATATATTAGAATAATCATTCATATTATAATGTAATAATATTTTTATTTTATGATTTTTTTTTTGTAAAATTAGAATTATACATTAGAATAAATATTTAATTTAGATATACATTAAAAAATAATTAAATTTTGATAATCAATATATAGAAGAGATAGTATTTTTATTAAAATATCTCATCCTTATAAAAGATCAAAAGTTTAGAAACTCAAATTACAAGTAGCAATAAAAATATATTTTAAAAGTAGAATTAGATTGACAATGTAATAATAATGATGATGATGATGNAAAATTAGAATTATACATTAGAATAAATATTTAATTTAGATATACATTAAAAAATAATTAAATTTTGATAATCAATATATAGAAGAGATAGTATTTTTATTAAAATATCTCATCCTTATAAAAGATCAAAAGTTTAGAAACTCAAATTACAAGTAGCAATAAAAATATATTTTAAAAGTAGAATTAGATTGACAATGTAATAATAATGATGATGATGATGATGATGATGACGATGATGATGATGATAATAATAATGATAATGATAATAATAATAATAATAATAATAATAATAATAATAATAATAATAATAATAATAATAATAATAATAATAATAATAATAATAATAATAATAATTCTTGATGAGATCTTATTTTAATAAGTCCTGATCTGATCTGATCTGATTGGATCTGATCTGATCTGATTGGATCTGATCTGATCTAATTGGATCTGATCTGATCTGATTGGATCTGATCTGATCTGATTCGATCTGATCTGATCTGATCTGATTCGATCTGATATGATCTGATCTGATCTGATCTGATCTGATTTTAATAAGAATAAGAAAAAATAAGAAAAAATAAGTTGAAGGGAACGGGGCCTAAAAATAGAAACCCATTTTTAGAAAATCTAATAACCCTTTTTTCCAATATATCCAAGCTTATGCAATTTAGCCAATTCAAATAGATAATCAAAATAATTTTGAATAGTTAAGGTATACGGAGTGCAATTTAAACCATGTATGAAAATACATACATATGTTTACAAAAAAGTAAAAATAAAATATATTTACACTAATTAAAATATGCTACTCCGTAAAATAAAGACTATCTATACCGAGTACTACGTACATACCTGCTTTAAATGTGTCATTCAAAAAGTAACAAGAATGGGAAATTTAATGCGTCATTTTAATTATTTATTTGAAGCCAAAACATTATCATGAATGACTTTCTATACGGAAAATTTTAAAAATAGCTTGTTTAATGTAATTTTTTAAAAAATAAGTTAAAGCATTGATATTGGTGGTTGGTTGCCGAAAAGATCCAAAAAAAAAGAGAAAAAAAATATGAGGGATTCTTTTCACCCCCGAGGGTCTCAATGGTTGGCAAAAACATTTATGAATCATAAACGTCAATCACACCCGAATTTTGGATGTCATTTTTTGACTGAGTTAGATATTGCATAGGACCTAGAAAATATGTTTAGTGGGTTCATAAAAATTTTAACAAATACGTAGTACAAAATAAGGAAGACTAAGGGGCTGTTTGTTTCAACCTCTTAATGGTTCAGATGTCTGAATGGTTCAGCACTTAATGGTTCAGACTGTTTGTTTCAGCCTCTTAATGGTTCAGATGTCTGAATGGTTATGAGATTTGCCTCTGAATGGTTAAGTATTATACAGAGTCTGAATGGTTAAGACCTCTTATCTGAATTGATCAGACATTTGCCTCTGAATAGTTAAGCAATATACTAGCTCTTAATGATTCAGACCTCTTACTGGTTAAGCACTTAATGGTTCAGACCTCTTACTGGTTCAGCACTTACCGATTCAGAAGTTGCCAAAGAGCCCCTAAATGTAATTAATATTAACTCATACAAAACACCAAAGTCATATTACATAACAAAACACAAACATTACAATATCAAGGGAGATTAAGGTACGAAAATCATAATTTGTAAAAAAAATCAAAACAGAGTGCAAAAAAACTCCAAAATGCCTTACTACCTCCAAAATATCTAGGATGCAAAAAAGCTTCACTGCACGCTGCCACTGCCCACAAATTAAACCAAAGTACCTAAGGTGCATAAAACTCCATAGTATCAAAGGTGAAAAAATTTCCAAAGTACGTATAATTTTAATTATCCAAGGGATATAAATCAAATAATATTATAATTATATAAATCTAATTATTTGAAGTGCCTTACAGCCCTTAGTTACGGCCTCCCCCAACCTGCCACGCCGCCGCCCGCCGGCCACCTCCTCCAGTCGGCGAGTCTTCCGGTGTCTTCCCGCACGCCACCGCAAACATAACAGAGGAAAATTTCTAAGATGGGATTTGAGATGGGAGGGTTTGAATTGGGTGCTGTGAGGCTGTGATTCCGTCCAAGGGATAAGGTGGCGGGGTGATTTTTTTAGTATACCCAAAACGAAGTCGTTTTGAGTATAAAATTTAATTTTTTTTTGGAGTGACTGCAGTTGACGCCACTTGCGAAAAAAAGCCGAGATAGGGAAGATTTTAGGAACTGATTTCCATATAGGGAAAAACGCACTTAGCAACTTCTATTGAAAAAACATATTTTTCTCAAAGGAAGTCGCCGACTTCCTTTGAGATTACTTTTATTTACTTTAATCAGCATTGTTTGACGTGCACACCTCCTCCTGAATCTCACATGTTATTTTTTTAAAATTCCTCAAAGGAAGTCACTAACTTCCATTGATATTATTTTTTGGCTAGCTCACTTCCTCATCTTTTACTCCGTAATTTTTTTGTCTTAACTTAATTTTTCTACTTTTCAAAGAAAAACTTAATTTCTATTTATTTTTTTAGAATTGATTTAACGGAAAAAATAATTAAAATAAGAACTCATATAATGATATTTATTTTTGGCCAAACAAAGTTTAAAAAAACAATGTTACATTCATTACATAAAAAAGAAATGATTAATAAAAGTCAATAAAAAAATTAAAAATATAATCTAAAACAACAAATGATTTTAAAACCAACACATAAAAATAACTTTCATAACAGTAACATAATTTTCAATGTTGCGGAGAAATTCAATATAGTCTAAGGCCAAATTCAAATTGATAATAGACTCTTAAGCTACAATTAGTCTGAGACTTATATTTCTAACCGAGCTCTTAAACTATAATTAATTTAAGCCAGAACACAAGAAAATACTCCCTCCGTCCCAGAGTATTTATCCACTTTCATTTTTACACACAATCCAATACACATTTTTAATCCATTTTATCTTGTAATTTGTATATTAAAAAATTATAAAAATTATATATTAATAATTAATATGTTAAGACAAATCAAACAAGATCACACATGACTATACTTAGGCTTACACATTGAGAGAATTTGATGAGTCAAAGTCCTTAGATGAACAGTTCTAAAAGTCAAAAGTGGACGAATATATGTTAAGACAAATCAAACAAGATCACACATGTCACATCATTTTTCTATGTACTTGCGTGTAGTAAATAAAAACATAGAAGCTGAGTAATGATATCTAATGCGTCGAGCATCTATATAAATTGAATCTCAATGCCAAATCATACAACGCTCTTAGATTGTTCTTAGTCTAAGACCGAATCCATATTTTCAAAACTAGACGCTTAAACTATGGCTAGTTTAAGACACTTATTAACTCGATGCTTAAACTATAATTAGTTTAAGACAATTAATTTTCAGACGCTTAAACTATAATTAGTTTAAAGCAATTGACAATCTGACGCTTAAACTATAATTAGTTTAAGGTAATTTCAGACGCTTAAACTATAATTAGTCTAAGGCAATTTATAACCAGACGCTTAACTTTAGTTAGTTAAGGCAACAAAAGAATAACGACTAATCATCGTCGGATAGGGGTATTCCAAACGAGTGAACCTCTAGTTTGGTCTATGAATCTCTTTTTATACATTTTTATTCAACTCACCAAATATACATATTGTCATAAGTCCATTCTAATATGAGATCTATCTTAGAGCTTCCCAGGAAAGCCTTAATAATACACCTTATCTATCCATTTTGAATCATGGTTCATCATTTAATCATCATCATTTAACTCAAGATAATATATTTAGTCACAATTCATTCTTACGGTTTATTTGTTCATAACAACATTTTGATATTTCTTCATAATAAGATTATTGTCATTATACGATCATAATCACACGGGTCATCCATTAAATCATTATAATCAACATTTAATAGAAATTACTATCGACGATATTTCATTATGGTTTATCCATTATTAAATCAGAAAACGTCAGAATAAGATTATTGTCATTCTCCAAATTGAAATCTTTTTGCACCGTTATGATCAGTTGAACTCTATCTAACAATATAATTTTTAGAGTCAAATTGATTTAATTAACCTCTATTCAAAAAGATTCTCAGAGTCAAAATTGATATAATTGACCTTTATTAAAAAAGATTCTCATTTTTAATTCATGTTACTTGTTCTCATGTTTATTTCAATAAATCATTTCAAAGTTCACATTATAAACAAATTTTTTATTAATTCTTAATTCGGGTCTGTACTCAACTACTCAATCTAGATCACACATAAAGTCAACATACTGAACTTATCATTATGAAATTTATCCAGATTGTGATATTGAATATCAAAACACACTTCATTTCGGCCCAAAGCCTAATATTATATTATAACAAAAACCAAATTCTAATCATTTTTTCGACAAACAAATTATAATAATTTTAAAGAATAAAATTTAAAAAAAATTACAAATCACCTCCGTCCTAGTGTATTTGTCTAGTTCGATTGTTTCGAATCAAACTAGACAAACTTAAACTCTAATACTATCAATTTATATTGCATATTAAATACAATTTTGAATGTTCCCAATACGATAAATTCAATAAAGTTATTTTTACGTTAATATACTTAATAGTTTTTATTTAATTAGAGGTCAAAATATGTCCAGTTTGATTTAAAAAAAAATCAAACTGGACAAAGACACTGAGACGGAGGGAGTACTTTTTATTGAGAGTGGATTGAATTAAGAAGTGTTGTGGTATATATTTGATGATTTGAACGAGGAAAAATTGAAAAAAATGAATAAATTTAAAATAATTTGTTGAAAAGAGGAGTGCTTGAATTTATAAAAAAGTTGGGGAGGTGTGAAAATTGAAAAGAGTTAGAGTAAATAAATAAGGGAAGAGAAAGGGAGATGAAAGAATGGGTCACGGGTAATTTATTTACACCTCTTTTCACTGATTGTAAATACTCCGTAAATAATACACCATAGTGGGTCCGCCCCTCTTCTCAAAGGGAGATTAATTTATTTACACCTCTTCTCAAAAGTTGACATTGCAGGCTTCCAAAATAGTACCACAAAATACATCTCAACATATGAAAAGACTTGTAGTTGCTGATGACTTAATTGAAAACATGTAGGGAAAAGAAAAGAAAATGAGAAGAAAAACATTTGTCTTGTTTGGTTAGAGAGGAAAAGGAAAGAAATTAAAAGTGAAAGAAAAAGAAAATGAAAAAGTAAAATGTGGTTGCTGATGACTTAATTGAAAACATGTAGTAAATGACTTTAGAGGGAAAGGAAAAGAAAATGAGAAGAAAAACATTTTTTTCTTGTTTGGTTAGAGAGGAAAAGGAAAGAAATTAAAAGTGAAAGAAAAAGAAAATGAAAAAGTAAAATGTGGTTGCTGATGACTTAATTGAAAACATGTAATAAATGACTTTAGAGGGAAAGGAAAAGAAAATGAGAAGAAAAACATTTTTTCTTGTTTGGTTAGAGAGGAAAAGGAAAGAAATTAAAAGTGAAAGAAAAAGAAAATGAAAAAGTAAAATGTGGTTGCTGATGACTTAATTGAAAACATGTAGTAAATGACTTTAGAGGGAAAGGAAAAGAAAATGAGAAGAAAAACATTTT